TCTTGTATATGTTTGACAAACCAAATAAAATAAAATAAAAAATATACAGACAGCTTATGTAGATTGACTAAGCTCTGATAAAATAAAGGTATGTTAATTGGCAGATCTTAGTATAACAGAATACACCACTCACCCAACCTTTTTTTAAAACTTACTTATAGATTCCCACATCTATTTTAACTAAGCTTTTTAGTTACAGATAAAAACTGACTATATATTTAGAAACTATATTTTTAGGGGGAAAAAATGCTTCTTGAAAAACATATGTTGATGAACAATGAACTGATCCAAGTTGTAATCTCATTTTTTGCTTATGAACCTTTTGCCTATGAACTTTCCAAAAAAAGTGTTACCTATAATTTCTAGCTATGATTATTCCATAATGTCAGTTTCTAGTAAAAAGTAGGATCAGATTTAAGGCTCCTTCCCAACATCATCTATATATTAGGTTTACCAAAAATCAGACCAACCACAATATATTTTATTATTTTTTATTCAAATAAAATGTTACTGATCTTAATGTACATCAAAAGACTAAGGAAGTATTTAGATGAAAATGACAACCAGTTAAACATGTAATGTAATTTATATAATAAATTGTCTATAGGGTCTGACTTTTGGTACACCTTGTATATTTTGCATCGTTTAAAATGTGAAGAAAGTTCAGGCCAAGTTATGAAAGAGGATATTAATAATATTCTAATTGTGTCTGTAATGTTTTTAATTAATCATTTAAATTTCATGAAGCACAAGGTCAAAGAGTAAGTACAATGGCACAAATCAACAAAGTTAAAATCTTCATATGAAACTCAAAATTGTTTCCATTTCATAAGAACGTTCTCCATAATGTATCAAACTGCTTAAAATAACTTACCAACATAAAAACTTTAAGAATATATATTAATCTTGCAGCAACATTAGTTTTAACACTATTTTTTCTCATAACTTCATGCTTATTTTTACCAATTTGTGTCTATTTGCATTAATTTTACATGGACATTTAGAAATAATGGCTTTTATCAACAAAGAAATCTCTCTGGAAATAATTATTAAAGATTTTAAAACAAAATGTTGGGACCCATTTTTTACAAACATCCATATAATGTACCAATATAAAGTGCTTCAGATGATTAGGAATTATTAATAAGCAAAGAATGTCAGCATACAAAAGAATTTATGTTTGACGTTGGTCATCTTAATATCCCACATTCTTTCAATTGCCTAATAAAACAGACCAGCAATTCCTGAATCAAATTATAAGGAGGAAATATAGGACATTGATCAGTTCTATGTGACATTCTAATCAACAAAGAAATTATTCCAATTATGATAGCCAGGTAACAAGGTCAGAATACAACCTTTTAATACAATAAGCAAAAACGAAAGTAAAATTATAATTGGCACATGTTTTAAAACTGGCACGTTTTAAAAAATTAAACTGTACAATATCAAAGTTTTGATTATGAACACAAGATCTATTGCCAAATCCACCTTATTTGATTTTATACTAATCCAGTGTTTTCTGATGCGTGATATCTTTTTATAAAACCTAATTGGCAATATCTGGTAAGTAATATATAGTAATAAAGTTATGTAGTTTGAAATTTTCAAACTAAGGTACTTGTCATTTGTGCTCTTGCCTTTTTAGATCATTAGAAGACATCAATCCAGCTCTAGGCAAGAATTGTAAAGATGAAATCTTTCTTTCACAACTTTCTTATATTAATGATACAACACAGACCAAAACTGCACACACCTTTGAACATAAAGTATTATTATTAATAAAATCTCACAGCAATTTCAAATAAATACCTGACACTGAGGCTATCTTTAGCTGCCTTAATTGCCTGAAGATGTGAAGCAATTGCAGAGAGGACTTCTATATCAATCCGATTGAATTCATCAAAACAACACCATGATCCAGATTGAACAAGCCCTAAGAACAATTTTCCCATTACCTTACATAGACAAAGAAAAATAAAGCATAACAAGTGAGGAATAAAGTCTCGTACAATTTATCACCAAGCTCAAGAGTAAAACAGCTACATTTACCTTTGTAATACTTATAAATGTACTTATAAAAAAGTTTTATACATAGTAAGTCCTTTTTAGAAGCCTGCTTTTTGTCCAATATTGCTCATTGCATTGTCTCTAAGATTGCACTCAGAGTCTGAATAGCTTTTGGCCCATTTCACACATCACTGAGTCTTTGGTTCTGCTTCAAATTGATATGACCTCTGCCAGCATCGTTTGTAACCTTGTCTTGGTTAGCTGTTCTATAATTGTCCTCATCTAATGGTATATTGCACCCTCCATGGTTTTAGTCCTTTGCAAACTAGTGTCAAGCACAAAACACCTGGAGTATTCGTTGAGTTCAAAGCACAGAATAGTTTATTATCGCTACCTCTATACAAAAATCTAGTCAAGTAATGGTCAAAGCCAAATTGGTGCTAGACAGTGGTGGATTCTGGGTGGTACGGCCCGGTACAGGCATAACAGTGGCAACTGGGAGCAGTGGCCACCGTACCAGAACGGTGTTTCATTGGGCCCACCCGTGTTCCCTCTTTTTGAGGGAAATGGGCGATAGTTAACACCTCTCTCCGGGAGGGAATTTTCCCGCTCCTCCTAAAGGACACGGTGGTGAGATCCCTCCTGAAGAAACCATCTCTGGACCCAGCCATTTTGAGCAACTATCATCCAGTCTCCAACCTTCCCTTTGTTCGGAAGGTTGTTGAGAAAGTGGTGGCCTCTCGGCACCGACAGTCCTTGGATGAAACCGATTATCTGGATTCCTTTCAGTCGGGTTTCAGGCCTGGTTACAGCATGGAAACTGCTTTGGTCGTGCTGATCTCTGGCAAGCCAGGGATAGGGGTCACCCCTCTATCCTTGTGCTCCTTGACCTCTCAG